CCATGCAATCACACATCCACACCATGCAATCACACATCCACACCATGCAATCACACATCCACACCATGCAATCACACATCCACACCATGCAATCAAACACATCCACTTCATGCAATCACTCATCCACACCATGCAATCACACATCCACACCATGCAATCACACACACATAATGTAGTCCACGTCCATGCATGAAGTCCACATATCCACTCAGTCCACAATCCACACCATGCAATCCCCACATCCACGTCCTACAATCTCAGAATTTCGGAGCCTCAACCATCCTTCAGTCCAGCCCCATGGGTGACCCTCTACCCCTGCTGTTTCTGTGGAAGGCTGTGTGCACTGGGGTGGAGGGGCTGGGTGGTGGGATTTTAAGTTGGTCTGGCCACTTTTCAAGGGGGTCAGTGCTGTCTAGGATATCGGCACCTTTCCCTGGGACAGTGGTTGGTGGAGAGGGGACTACGGTGAATGTCTGACCTGGGTCCTCAGAGAATGAGCTCTGTAGGAGAACCCAGCCACGGCTCCACCGCACCGCGTGATGGCCACGGAGCCCTGGGGAGGTGGAGGCCGTGATGGGTGAGAGGGGAGGAAGTGGCTGCGGCACAGGGGCCTTCTCTGCACAACTCTGCTGCCTGCCCAGCGGGCTTTAGCTGTGCCCCCCCGCCTCCCCCTGGGCCCTGACCTGTGTCCATCGCGCAGCCAATGCCCAGTGGGCTGTAGCTGTGTCCCCCCCAGCTTCCCCCCTGTGCCCTGACCTGTGTCCATCGTGCAGCCAACGCCCAGTGGGCGATGGTGGAGAGGATGAGGGAGGCTGGGCTCATGGACTGTGGGGTAGGGGCGGGACCATGTGCAGGGCCGCATGCCGGTGTCTCTACCTCCTTCACCTCCTGACCTCAGCCCACAGCGGGAGAGCGTTCAGAGCTGCAGTGTGGAGTCACACACGGCTGTCCTAGCCCTCAGGACATTGTCATCACTTTCTTGTTTGTTTTTTTTGTCTTCTGTAGTTTTTTTTTTTGGTGCTGGGGATTGAAACCTTTCCCCACTCCTTCCTCTTCCTCCCCTTTTCCTCCTCCTCTTCCTCCCCTTTCCCTCCTCCTCCTCTTCCCCTTTCCCTCCTCCTCTTTCTCCCCTTTCT